GTTCAGTTTAGGCTTGGCTCTCTGAAATCAGGACAGATTGTTACAAGTTACATAAGCTCAGTTTCCCTGTCAGCAGTAGAGGAATTGTAGTTCAGGTGAGTGAGTCAAGAGTTTCACTGTTTGGGAGCGAGGGTACTTACTACCTGTGCCATCATGAGGTTGACAGGTCATAAGTGGTTGTTAAAATGACAGTGGAAGAAATAGGAAATCTGGATAGAGCCGTAACAGGAAACGAGATTGAATTAGTAATAAAAAATGACTCACAAAGAGAAGCCCGGGTCCAGATGGCTTCACTGGTTGATTCTTTCACACATAGAAAGTAGAGTTAATACCAGTTCTTCTCAAAAATTCTTACAAAAAATAGTCATCCGTGGGGCACCTGGGTGGCTCACTCGTTAAGCGTCTGCTTTCGCCTCAGGTCATGATCCCAGGGTCCTGGGACTGAGCCCCGCAAGGGGCTCTCTGCTCAGCGGGAGGCCTGCTTCTCCCTCTGCCCCTCCCCCTGCTCGTGTTTTTTTTCCCCTCTCTTTCAAATAAATAAAATCTTAAAAATAATGTCATCCATAATTTTTATATCATTTGCATGTTGAAATGATAGTTTTTTGAATATATTGGGTTAAATAAAATATATGTTAAAATGAAAAAAAAAAATAAATGGCAAGAAATCCAGTCTGTAGTAACCAACCTGGTAGCCATGAGCACCCCTACCATTCAGATTTGTGGTCTCTTAATACCAGTTCCTGCTAAAGGAAACAAGAGCTTCCTGATGCCCGGTCTGAGGTAGGAAATGGACAAGCTGGGAACTTCCCAGGAAAGCAAGGAAGATAATCAAAAACTTCTGGGTTCATGTAAAAGGGCTCAAGAGCCAACTTGAATAGGCTCCCACTGGAGAAAGATGGGTCGTGTTGAGCATCTATAAGAGGTACAAGTTCAATGTCTTGCAACACATCAGATATGTTTGAATCGATGAGATTATAATGACACTTTAAAAAGAGAGGAGAAAAGGGGTGCCTGGGTGGCTCAGTTGGTTAAGAGTCTGCCTTTGGCTTAGGTCATGATCTCGGGGTCCTGGGATTGAGCCCCACCTTGGGCTCCCCGCTCAGCAGGGAGTCTGCTTCTCCTGCCCACTGCTCCCCCTGCTTGTGCGCTCTCTCTCTCTTAAATAAATAAAATCTTAAAAAATAAAAAGAGAAAAAAAAATGGAATCCCTAATTCCTTGATTCTTTCTCTGGTAGTTCTTAGTGAGATTCAGGGTGACAGTTACAAGAAGCAGCAGAGAATTAGTCATTGTCCAGAAGGGCAGTGTGTGCCATGCCAATATCCATGCCCTGCTCATGGCCCATTAATCAGCTGCCATGAGGCCCTTTCCTATCTTGCTTGCGTGTGTCGGCCGCATGGAAGGGAAGCGGTGGTACTGTGTCCTTCCCTCGCTGTGCTCCAAGGTTTTACATACGAGGTGGGCTTTACTGCTTGCATGATGTCTAAGTTTTTTAACTATACAGGTAATGCGTGCCTGTTGATAAATCTTTAAATCCTGAGTAATGTAGAATATTCCCTGTTCCCTATCCTTATTTTCAGATGAAAGAAAACAGAGGTTTCCATTATTTTTTTCAGTCACTGCTGGTGGGGCACATGGCTGGCTCAGTTGCTACAGCATCTGACCCTTGATTTCGGGGTCGTGAGTTCAAGCCTCACGCTGGATGGAGAGATTACTTAAAAAAAATAATAAAATAGGGGTGCCTGGGTGGCTCAGTCATTAAGCATCTGCCTTCGGCTCAGGTTAGGATCCCAGGGTCCTGGGATCGAGCCCCACATGGGGTTCCCTGCTCCGCGGGAAGCCTGCTTCTCCCTCTCCCACTGCTTGTGTTCCCTCTTTCACTATCTCTGTCAAATAAATAAATAAAATCTTAAAAAATAATAATAAAATAAATTTCTAAAAAAACCCAAAGTCACTGCTGATGAGCTGTAGATCAGAAGCTTGAACCAAGATACTCCCAAGATCCCTCTTTTTGAGGTGGTTTGGGTCCTCCTGGTGCTTTTTTCCTTTAGATAATCATGACGTCATCTCCCTGAAGTTGTTTGAGCTGACAGTGGAAAGAACCCCAGAAGAGGAGAAGCTGCATCGAGATGTGTTCTTGCCCTCGGTGGACAACATGAAGCTGCCTGAGGGTGAGCGTAGGGGATCCCGGGAAATGGTCCCTGTGGCTGGGGAGGAGGTCACTGTGCCTGGGAATTCTGAGGTGACTTGCACCCACAGCCTGCTGGGCCGTCTCCTTTCTGTGTTCTTCCCCTGAAGAGCATGGAGCACGCGCTCCTGCCATTCCAGCGGTCTCCATGTTACAGATGAGCAGTTTGCTCAGTTTTTAAATTGAGGCGCCTGGCAAGGGGGGCATCTGTCTGCCCTCTGGCTCCCAGAAATGAGTGTCAGAAACTGGAGACTTGGATACCTTCCCGACTGGGGGGGGCTCCCTGCCTCTGACTTGCTTCCCTCTTGTTTCCTCAGTGACCGCCCCGTTGCCACCCCTGAGTGGCCTGGCCCTCTTCCTCATCGTCTTCTTCTCGCTGGTGTCTTCCGTATTTGCCATTGTCATTGGTATCATACTGTACAACAAGTGGCAGGACCAAAACCGGAAGCGTTTCTACTGAGCCCTCCCGCTACTTCCGCCCCTGTGGCTGTCACTGTGAGCCAGCGCTGGCCTGAGCGTCCAGCCGGCCGGGCCTTCTCCAGTTTCCAGCAGCAGGTCAGGGACTCTGTTCTCTCACTGGGGCTTTGAATGCAGGGATACTGCATTGCCATGGTGATCCATGGGGACATCTCGCTGGTTCCGGAAGCCCACCTACCCCAGGGCAGTGCTGCTGCGATGTGCCTTTCCCTGCAGTCCTTCTACTTGGGAGCTAAGAGGGACGGAGAGAATATATACGGTTCTGATGCCAAGATCACGAAAAGAATTTCATAGCTCAGGCTGCCTTGTTGTTGGACTCTGAGGACCCTTGTGCTTCATTTTTAAATCCGCAGAGAACACAACACGGATAACTCCTCATACCTTCCAGGCATCCATTCGTCGGATTTTGCTTTTCGTCCAAGCCTCTGTCCACCTGAGGAATTTCCCCTGGAAATCTGGATGGAAACTTCTTCCCTGTGTTGCCTTCTCCCTCCACTCATTGCTCTCTCCACATGCAGCCTGAGCTGGAAGAGACATCTGGATGCCTCTCTTTTGGAGCCTGGGGCTGCAGAACAAACTGATGTTTCACTGACTCTTAGTCAGGTGACCACAGGGAGAGGGCTTTTCGCTTTGGCTCACTGCTCCAGCCGTTGTTCTTTAGCGTGAATCTTGGTTCTGTTAGTTTGTGACCTTCCCAGTTGGTTCCTTAAGGCCCTCAGTCAGGTTTGGCCGAAAACTGGTGTGCAAGTCAAGAGAAGCTTGTACGACTTCATGGTTGCCAGGGGAGTAACTGGGAAACTGACCAGCTCCATGTTTTGACACCAGAAGCAACAGTTGCCATGTGATCTGACCATGTGTGGAGATGTTTCTGGACTCTGGAGCCTGCTGAACTGCATGTTTGGTGTTTATCATGACTTTTGGAATCCCACCCTAGTGTTCAAAACGTGAGGCTTCCTTTTTATAGCCTCGGCTTAGATACTCCCCAAAGAGGAAACTTGGCTTCTTTTTCTTAATGGATAAGAAACAGTTGCTGTTCTCCTGTTGCAAATCTGGGAGCAATGGATGCTCGTCCTCTGTGCCTGGAAGAGATCATTGTCATCGAGCAACAGAGCCCGAGTGTCCTCCTCTGTGGGTCAATCCTTATTCCACTGCCTTATCTGACAAGGGGTCATGTGCTGTTCACCTGTCTGCCCTGTGATTAAATTGGCCAATGGGCCAGTCTTCCTGGAGGGCCTGGAGCTCTGAGCTCTCCTAGTCATGTACTTCTGTAGCCTAAGGGAAATTCTTAAAATGGCTGATGGAAACCAAACATGAGCTTCCAATTCAGTGTCCTTCCTTCTAGGGGTGGTTTTGGGAGGAGGTCTGGCCTTCTTACTGAGCCCCAAGCCTGCCAACTGTCGCCTTGCCTTCTTCTCAGTTGGGAAAGCCCTCAGCTCAGCCCGGAAGGAAAGCAGGTCACCTCGGCTGGGTATAGGTTTCTGTCGTGTTGGGCTCTCTTCTGTCCCTCCCATGTGCTTAAGTGAGCATCATACGCTGTAGTGCTCTCCTGCAGGTTCGAGTAAAGTGGGATCCTCCTAAGACCTTCCCCACAAGAGCAGAGCAGCTCCAGGGTACCAGAGCACAAGCTGTGACCCGGAGCTTGGCCTTAGCACCACTTAGAACTGACAAAGCAAATGGCTGTTTTGTCTTTTTTTGAGCGCAGGGGGAGATTGGCTAGACCCCTGTGGTGGGAGGACCTCGGTGGGCTCTTGAGATGGTCCAGGCAGTGGTGCAGGAGGAAGGGGTCTCATCGTGGGGGAACGTACGTGTGTGTGATGATTGAATTTATGAGTTTTGTGCGATTCCAGCTCCTGGGCTCCTTGTGGCTTTTGCAAGAGGACGGGGAAGACATGAAGTGCAGTCCCCACCCAGCATGGGGCCAGCCTTTGAGAAATGTGTGATGCAAGGAAACTGTCTAACTGAGCGTGGTAGGTCCTGCCCTAGCTCTTGCTTTTTGTTCTTAAGAAACAAGTATTTCCCATTGTGAATGGGACCAAATATTGTTCTGGGCCCTGTAATCCCAGGCGTGCCCTCAAGGAGGGAGAGGTCTGGTCTGTGGTGGAGGCTCTTTTGTACATGCACAGTAGGAGTGAGAGCAACGGCCTTGGCAAGCTGCGTACCCCCACATGAGCCATTTCTCTCCTCACAGTCCCCCTTTCCCTTGGTTTCCCTCCGACTTCAGAGCCTCTTACAGAGGAAGAGACCCTGAAAACTAGAGGTGGTGTATAAAGATGACGTTGTTCCCTGTCCTCGTGAGTCTTGGCTTTTATGGTTTCTTCAACCCCATCCCCCCCAATTACAAGGTGGTTCTCTGTGACAAAATTTGTTTACTTCAGTGGGAAAATGACAACAACAGCTCTGTCCTTGTTGGAAGTGGCTTCTGAACAGAACATGCCCCTCATTGCATATGTCCCCGAAGCCCCCTGTCTACGTCCTAGAAGATAGAAACGAGAACTAGTAGGAAGTGCGAGGGTAGGGCTGATGATGGGCTGGAGAAAAGCCAGGCAGACATGGACCAATTAGTCTTGTGGGGCTGGAAGTTCTGGAAAAATGTCTTGCAGGCGATTCATAGGTTCCTGGAGGAGTTTCAACTCGTGGTCTATTGTAGAACTTAGGTTCTGATGCTGGCTGGTGAGGTTGGAAGAGTGAGGACTGCTGCTGGTTGGGGGATTCATGACATTGGCAGATATTTTGATGGGAGCATTCAGCCGAAGTTTAGGTTTGATCCAGCTCATGGCCAAGTAGTTCTAGAGAGAATAGGCAACAGTTAGCCTGAGGGAGCAGCTTGAGGCTGTCTCTTCAGAGTCATCCCAAGAGCAACTAGTGCCTTTGTCCCTGTTCCCAAGGTTGTCACTCACCGGTGCCGAATAGATAAAGTTGAACAGCATAAGTACTATAAAGAATACGATTGCACCGATTATGATTTTGAAGTGGTAGCGTTTCCAGACAACGCGGCAGAAGATTGTCACAGGTGACCGCAACATGAACAAGGTGTTGGGGCGTCTGTCCATGAGCAGAGGAGATGTCAGGGGATGGAGGGCAGAGGGAACCTTCAGGTCAAGTAATCCACAGCAAAGAGCTTTCTTTTTTTAAAAAGCAACTTCTGCTTGCTTGTGTGTCCTCCCCCACCCCCCCCCTTCACCCAGGCCATTCTCTCCTCCTTGTAACTGAGCACTGAGGTGGGGTGCTGGGAAGTAATGACCCCTTGCCACTTGTAGGCCCACCGCTCACCACCCTATGCAAATTGCTGGGCCCGGCAGCTCAGCTTCGTGAATGAGGAGGAAAGATTTGGGGCCTCTGTCCCGCAGGACTCTTACAGGGGAGGATGAAGTGTAGGGTATTGGTTGGGTTCTGATTGGCCTCGCCCTGCTGGCTTGATTAAGGCTTCCTTCTCTGACAGAATCTCCAGCGTCATCTTCACCTTACCCTAGAAACACCATAGGCGGTGGGAGGCTGAGTTCATTTTTTTTTTTTTTTTTAAAGATTTTATTTATTTATTTTGACAGAGAGAGACACAGCGAGAGAGGGAACACAAGCAGGCGGAGTGGGAGAGGGAGAGGGAGAGGGAGAAGCAGGCTTCCCGCGGAGCAGGGAGCCCGATGCGGGGCTCGATCCCAGGACCCTGGGATCATGACCTG